TCCAAATGAAGCTCAACCATGCCAAAGCTCAGAGCCCCATCTGTGTCCACGGCGTGGGGCTTCCCAGGTTGCCACAGGATGCCTGATGCACCCAAGCTGTCTCTAGCTTCAAAGGACTTGACCAATCTGTTTCTCTTTTTCAAAAGGAGAACGTTTTAAATGAGTTGGTGTTTTCAGTAAGGGATGAACATTGCCTGTAAAGTGTGATTGGCTATACAAGTGATCGACTTTTCAAAAGAAGAAGAGCTGGGCCAATGTTTTCAACCGAGCTGTTTTACACAGAGAGAAAGGGAGGGAAAAGGAAACAAATTTTTTCCTCACCCACACAAGAAGCAAGCAGGCAGAACCTGTAAAAGCTGCATTCCTGAGCAAACCAAACCATGAGTGCTTGATCACAGGTAATAAGGATTCGTGCTACGTGATGGCCACCATTTCCCATCTAGAAACAAGAGTGATGTTCCCTTCTCTGATCCACTGCATGGAAGAGAAATCCGAGAAAAGGTTGTTTGCTTATCTCTTTCTCGGCTCACAATGAACCAAAATGTATGGTTGGGGGTGGAAATGTTGAGAGAAAGAAGGAGGCATAGGCACCCATGGGAGCAAGTGTGCGGGAGGGGTGGGGGGGAATGACTGTACCTGCATAACATCATGGGGGCTTCTACTGGATATCTACGAACAGAGGCAGCTGATTCCTGAAGGACACTCACTTGCCTTCTGCTGTTCCATTTAGAGGAGCTCTGCATGGAAGTGACTTATGAAAAACCACCTCACTTTGCTTTCTCCCCTCCCCACCCAGTGTTTCTAGGAGGGGAAAAACCAGGTAGAGTTTCACCTGCATAACAGCCGAACAGCATTTGTTAATGCCCAATGACCCTCTGGCCATTCCAAGATCTCCATTAGCGTTAGGAGAGAAACCCGCATGAGTACTCAACCAGCTTATAACCAAGCCTACAGTCAGCATGGAGGTATCCTGGCAGCCACAACCCACTTACAGTCCATCCATCTTCAAGCTGCCAAGGTTGAGAAACACTGGCCTAGATTAACACACTGCACTAAGAAATAACATAGCTTGTTTGGCTCTGGTTTAGTAAGTCATGCAGACATCATTACAATGTGCAAATCATGATTCATGGTTTAGTATGTTGAATGAACCCAACCACTTAGGGCCGATTTCGCAAACCATGAATAAAGCAAACGGAGGCTTAGGATAAGGTGTAAAACCAGTCATTCAGTCCTGCCATCAAGTGCAACATTCTCAGAGTTTTATTTTTTGGGCCAAAATCTTTTGGGCCATTTTGAATGTTTTGAGCCACCCTTTGGTGCAAGGCTTTAAATAACTCCTCACGCAGCATTTATGCTGTCTTAACTGGTGAGCATCTCCACCCCGCAAGCCCTGCTATGCTGCATCACTATGGCAGGAGAGGATGTTCCTCAGAAGGAGAAGCGAAGAATGCTGAGAATTATCAGCCCTTCAACGTAGACCAGACTAGGAAACCAAGACCATGTAAGTCAGTACTACTTTTATTGTAAAGGTATAGTAACAGAATCTTGCAAATCTGAATGCGCTTCCCCGCTCCAATCCCTTTATCTTTGTGTGAAGTAGGGAGGGGCTTTGCCTGAGTCGTTTACTCATGTTACATTCTTGACCCAGGCTCAGGCCTCTTTTATCTGACCATTGTCTTGGTAGCAGCTCTTCCTTCTATCCTTCAAGACCATATCCTCTGCCTTCTATAGGAATGTGTGCCAAGAATATGTTTCCAGCAAGGTAACCTAAGGAATGAAGGTCATCCCAGCTACCCAGCTAAAACAAGCAGGCACCTATTCAGGCTGTCCTTGACTTATGACCACAACTGGGACCAGAAATTTCATCACTAAGTGATGGAGCCATTAAGTGAGTCACACCCAATTTTGCAACCTTTTTGCCACGGTCATTAAGCGAATCAAGCAGTTGTTAAGCAAATCCAGCTTTCCCCATTGACTTTCCTTGTCGGAAGCCCCTGGGAAGGTTACAAATGGTGATCACATGACCCTGGGACTCTGCAACCATCGTAAATACATGCCGGTTGCCAAGCACCCAAATTTTGATCATGTGACCATGGGGACACTGCAACAGTCATAATGCAAGGACCAGTAGTCACTTTTTCAGTACCATCATGCCTTCAAACAGTTGTTAAACGAATGGTCATAAGTTGAGGACTACCTATATAAGGCAGCAGCAATATAAGAAGATGCTGGAGGCAGATGATAAATTTAGTGACAATGACAAGGCATCATTTTATACTGTGTGGGAGAAGGCAAACCACTCCTGCATTTTACAAAAAAAATCACACTGATTTGACAGTATAAAGTGATAGATGATATAGTGCCAGATGACAGACCCCTTAGGTTGGATGGCACTCAACATATTACTGAGGGAAAACTGAAGATCTTTCAGAGTACTAATGGTATTTATGATGCAGCTAGATTACAGCCTTCAGGATATCTAGTGCTGATGTTGCCATGCAGAAAAAGAAAATCTGAAGCTACAAGGACAAAATTACTGTGGGAACATGGAACATAACAAGCCCAAACATGGGAAAGTTCAACAGAGTGAAAGAGGAAATGAATCAACTACACATTGCCATCTTAGGCATCAGCAAACCGAGATGGACTGGAATTGGATACTTTCATTCAGCACTGTTTACTGCCTAGGACATGAGAAACCATAAAGAAATTGTGTTGTTTCTATAATTAGGAAGGGTGTAGCAACAGTACTTGGGTACAATACAATCAATGAGTAAACAGCATCAATTAGACTTCACAGACAATCCTTTAATGTGATGGCTATTCAAGTTTATGCTCCAACCAGTGATGAATAAGAAGAGAAGGTTGACAAGTTTTATGGTCAAGTTCAATCAGAAACTGGCAGAAAATGCAAGCAAGATGCACTACTTGTGGCTAAGTGCCAAAGTTGGAAGTAGGAAGATATAATTGGATTGTATGGCTTCAGAAACAGAAATGAAGTAAGAGAATGACTTATCAGTTTCTGGCAATTCAATGATTTCTTTGTTGTTAACACAGTCTTCAAACAACAAAAACCATGCCTATATACATGGACATCACCAGATGGAGCACACAGAAATCAAATTGACTATATCGTTGGTACAAGGAGGTGGAAGAACTCAGTTACAATAGCAAAAATATGGTGAGGCACTGACTATAGAACAGATCACGAGCTGCTCGTGTGCAAGTGCCAAGTCAAGCTAAAAGGCAATAAGAAAACCAACCAGTTTTCATAGTATGATCTTAAGCACATACCCACCATTTTCAAGGAGAACACCAGGGATCCCTGTGAAGTTTTGAGCCTCATTGATAGGGAACCAGAACAACTGTGGAATGAAATCAAAGAAGTTGTTAGGGATGAATGAGAAAAGGAAATGCTAATGATGAAGAAACAGAAGAAAGCAAATTGGATGTCAGAACAAATGGTAGAAATTGCAAGGGGAGCAGAGAAGCCAACATCAAGAAAGACAAAAACCTCAGGAAGAAACTTAACAAAGAATTTCAGAGAGCTGTTAGAGACAAGAAGCAGTATTACAATGACATCTATAAAGATACTGAAGATGGAAAAAGACATGGAAAAACAAAGGAAGTCTTCCAAAAGATCTCCAAACTCAGAAGGAGGTTCCAACCTCAGATTGGTATGGTAAAGGATACCAAAGGACAAACTGTAGCTGATTCAAAGAAAATAAGACAGCAATGGAAGGATTATATTGAAATTCTGTACAAGACAGATGCAACATTCAAGATATCTTTGAAGATATCCCCTATTTACAAGAGCCACTATTATTAGGAGATAAGGTAGATGACTCTGGTCATCATGAAATCAGAAGGCTACAGGAATTGCTGGATTTTCTTCAGAAATATGGCAAACAACAGAAGAAGAATCAGCAAAAGTTCTAACCAATCTGTGCCAGAGGTCTGTACCAGAGATCAATCTCTATAACAATATCAAAGAAAGAAGATTTAATACAGTACGCAAGAGTGGATTTTGAAGAAGCAGGTTAGGAAGAGCATTTACACTTTTGAACTTTGTTGTTTCTAGACAACTCCTGGGAATACAATGCACAACCAAGAAAATAAAAAAAGAATCATCAAACAAATCAACCCAGAGTTCTTACTTGAGGCACAAATGACCATGCTCAAATTATCTTACCTCAGGCACATTATGTGAAGACTAACTCTCTGGAGAAGGTTCTAATGCTGGGAAAGGTGGAAGGAAAGAGAAGAAGTGGACAATCAGCAGCAAGGTGCATGGACTTATTTACAGTGGCTATGAGTACACCGTTGGAAGACCTGAAGGACCAGGTTGGGGACAGACCATCCTGGAGAAAATCTATTTATGAGGTCACCAAGAGTCAACACCAACTTAATGGCACTTATTCACTCAATCAATCTATGAAGACTATTCTATTCTTTCAATGAGAATTTCAAAGTTAAAGTTCTCTGCCACTAATTCCCCTTTTTTTCTACTGAAAGAAAAAAAAGAAAAAGAAAGAGGCTTCGGGGCCCATCAAAAGACTTGATCAGTCCTATGGCCTGCCATTTCTCACCAGATCCAAGCCCCTTCAACTTCTGTGAGATCTGGGAATGGCTGCAAGAGAGCATGGGGTAGCGTCTCCCATAAGGTGAAACTGGTGGAGGACAATTAAGCAAGAGAGATGGGAGGGAGCAGGCTATATTTTGTTAATGTACAGATTTTGTTCTGTTGTTTCTACATTGACAAATATCTCTTTCACAGCAAAGCAACATCCTGGGAACAGCTGGGTGGCAGTTTCAAACTCAAATGAGCCAGAAGCACACGCTGGTAGTCACCTCTGATTGCTTCTGAATGGCAGCACATGGAGATTTATGCCCAGCTATAAATTAGGGCAATTATTTCTCCCTGGTTTGCTTTTTATTCCATGCAGTAAACTCCAGGCCTGCCTCCCCACTCCCCCCGTTTTAAGTAAAAAGGATATCTTCCCTTTCTTTGATAATGAGCTCATTCTGTTCCTCAAGTTGTCTGATCTTCTTCTCAAACGCCTCCTGCTCAGCTTTCAGTCGCTCTTCCGTCACCTCTTTTTCCTCGCTCACTCTGAAAAGATAAAAGCACGCACGCACAATCAGACAAATACGAGGCACCAATACAAGAAAATGAGTTTTGATCAGACTAGCCTGAGGCTCTAGGGCAACTCTACGATTCCTAGAGTCATCTACAGCACTCCCATCCAGATGCGACAGATATTTTCCTCTGCTTTTCATCCCTGAGCCCTGGCCAGGATGAGAGGAGCAGTCCAGCACATCTGGAAAGCACAGAATGCAAAGGATTGTGCCAGCCCTGTTAACAAAAAAAAAAACTTTCAGGGGGACACAGGTCCAGCCCCTCAACTGCTGACACACAGATACGGGTGGCCACTTCAGTCACCCAGCACACCATGAAGATCTTTGGCTGATGAAAGAGTGGTGGAACAGGGAACAGGGGCAGAACAAGGAGTAGCAATGGAGGCAAGCCATTCTTGCGAAGAGCCACCGAGGATACACTTGCTGACAAGTAACTCCGAAGAGAGCAGAGAAAATGGGGCCATGTGCTTGGTCAGATTTGTCAAGGTCTACAACAGGTTATTGAAACTTTTATTGCCTTTTGCAATAAAATAAAATAAAAAATAATAAAATAAAAAACCCTAAGGGCAGAAATGTCAAACATGTTTTCGATTAGGAAATGGCTTCAGTTTAGCAAAAACTACAGCTCCTTCCAGCAGTTAGCCTTCTCCCTCCTCTACGTGCCTTATCTGTCTTCCGTGCAGCCAACAAGAGTGCATTGTTTGATGCTTTGTCCCTGGCACTACAGTAAGAGCGCTTCTCAACCTTCAGGAAAGCTGGCTTTCTTTTCACAAGAAGTTAGCAGGCAGAGGCTAAGCAGGAGCATCACGGCCAGTGCCATGCTCACAGCGATGCAGGCCACAGTATCCGTCTCCAAACCCAAGGGGATCCACCTCTACCAAATCTGTTGCATTTACGGCTACCTCAAGCCCTAGAAACCCCATCCAAAGATTTAACGCCACTTCCATGACTCTCCCCCACACAACGAAGTTAAGTGTAACTAAGTGCTTATTTTATTTTCCAAAAGCAAATCTTCCAGACAGGAGACAGTTGCTGTTATTGTTCAAAAGCTCCCAAGAAAGAACAGTTGAGAAGAGAAGAGAAGAGAAGAGATGGTTAGATAGCATCACTGAAGCAATGAGCATGAAACTGAGCAAACTCAGGGAGGCAGTGAAGGACAGGAAGGCCTGGCGCAATATGGTTCATGGGGTCACGAAGAG